AAAAAAAATCAAAAAAATCGAGCCGGCTCGGCCCATTAAGACTTGGGCCGAAAAAAGCTTGGGCTCGGCTCGACTCGGCTCGTTGACACCGCTAGGCAAACTTCCTCTAAAATAATTTCTAGAAAATAATTTAAACGTATACAAAAATAAATTTTTAATCTCAAATGCAACTTTTGATTTTTCAAAAATCATATGAAACAGGTCATACATATCTTATTTCATTTATAAATCTATTAGACTAAACAAGGTGGAACCTCGAGAGTTTTTTTTCCTTAAGATGAAATTGTGCTGTGTGTGAGTCGATTGGCCTGAGCATAGGATCTATGCTGCAACGTAGTGCCTACAAAATCCTTCTTTCGATCGGTTCGCTTAAAATTTGGCCTGAAATCAGAGAGTTGTAAGGCAAATGATGCGGACACAGGACAAGTGTGGGAGTGAAACCGCGAGGCGTATCAGATGATTGACTTAGGCATAAGATGCACGCCAACAATGTAATGCCCGCAAATGCCCTCCTTTCGGCTGGTTGGCTTAAAATTTGGTCGAAACTCATAGCTTGCGGCCTGTATTGGCTTGAGATCGATTGTTTTTTCATTTGCACGACAAGGGATCAAAAAAGTGGGTACTGAAATAAAACTTTGTCGAGAATAAGTGTAGGCACTAATCTTATTAGAAGACTCATTAGTACACTTTATGCTCTAATTTGATAAGACATCATATTGAGAATAGGCAATGAGGAGTGAAGCCGCAACTCGTATACCACAACGTAGTAAGTATTAATCTTAACAAAATTTAACATTAAATGGAAGAACTCATAACAAAAACTAAGTGGTTGTTCTCTTCGTGTTTCAATTTTTAGTTTTGAATTAATTTTGAGTTTTGTATTTTAAGTGTCGTTAAGGCATTGAAATTTCCTGTTTGTGACCATGGTTCAAATTTCAGTCGCCTACCAATTTATTTGAAAAATTTTGTACTGTGCATGTAAAAAGAAATTTCCTTTGTATTGAATTGCAGTGAAACGGAATCGAACTCGTGACCTTCAGAAAATCAATGACTCTCCCACCTAAGATATCCCACTATTGGCAACATCCGGTCGTTTTCCTTTTTTTGAAGTTTTGGCTTGGTTTTAACTGAAAACAGACAAAATGACTTGCATTTTCTGTTTTCTTTATAAATTTTAAATTCGTTTTTGAAAATTCATTTATGAAAATAGATAAGTAAACGTGTTTTCAGTATTTTCGAAAACTGAAAACTGAAAATGGTCTGACAACGTCAAAGCGAACGGACCATAATGTTTTAAAGATTGTGAAGGTTAGCCGTTCAAAATACAACTATTCAAGGATTCTATGTGCCTTGTATTGTCACTTGTCACACATTTTAAGGAGTCGCTACCAATTCTTGAAAACTCAAATTTTGAAAATTGGGTAACTTAGGGTCTGTTCTCTTTGCTGTTTTAGGGTCATTTTCAGTTTTCAATTTTC